TACTTATAATACCTCTTATATGGGGCAACAGGGCGAGATGGATTTAATGATAAGTTTTTTAGAAAACACTAGCACTTTGTGGAAACTGATATGGTGAAGGCCGTACAAGATTTTTCTAGGGGTCCCCATCCCTCCTAGGGTGGCTAGCAGTCTGGTGGTACTTATTCCTAAAATTGATAACCCAACTACGTTTGGATATTTTAGACCTGTTTGCTTATTATCCAATTTTATATGCAAGGTATGTACAAAGTGTTGACTGACAGATTGTATAAAATCCTTCCTAAGCTCATATCTCCGGAACAAATTGGGTTCATGAAGAACAAGGATATTTTCTAACCACATCCTTATTGCTCAGGAAATTTCCATTGACAAGAAGATCAGGGGTTCTAATGTGGTTGTTCAATTAGACATGCCAAAAGCTTTTGATAAACTATCATGGGATTTCCTATTTGGTGTTTTAAACAGATTTGGCTTCTCGCAAAGATTTATTCAGTTTGTATTAAGTAATCTTCAGTCCATTTACCTCTTTGTGTTAGTTAATGGGGTCCCATCTGATTTTTTAAGCCCAAGAGGGGTGTTAAGCAAGGTGATCCACTCTCACCTTACCTTTTTATCTTGGCCTCTGAGGCATTCTCCAGGGGTATTAAGTGGCACATGGAAACAATATCTATTAAACCTTATTGGATGAGAAATTTCAACACCCAATCGAAATTTGTTATTGTATAATATTAACTGTTTGGTGGAGTTACAATAGAAAATATTTGAGTACTTACTCTTAGTGGTTACCCCATTTTTATTATCACAATGCATACATTGAAAATGGACACCTCCAACCGAGTTAATTGTTTTATTGCAGCTATTGCATCTGATGTAAAAATGAATGAATCTGTTTTTAGAAAATTGAAGTTGCCCTCGATCCAAACAAATTCTTGCCTGTGATTCAAAGTAAAACAAAGTTACTTCTTTGATTTTTTTAACAAATGAACTCAGTGCAGTTGCTCTTTTGGAAGTTATGATTACCTTATCCAGGGTTTCACATCACAAACACACAACTTGGTCTGCATATGAGGTTGTCAAAATCTAACAAGTGAGTTCACGTAGAGTTGTTCATTGTTCATTTTCTGAATAGCTCGTGGATTTGTAACTCCTATCAATTAATATATATCAATATGTTTCGCTTCTAAACAAATTTTTCTGGTATTCCATACCTAAAGTCTTAAACACGTCTTCATAAAATTACTGATAGTGTATGAAGTGTGTTTACCATTCCTTCAGAGCAGAGCATGTTGACCATTGGGCTTCAGCTCTATATATACATGTGTCGTATCCTGTTGATAGTGATAACCCTACAATTAAAACCAATGTATCTAATTTATAAACTAAAAAAGTAATACTCTGGAGAAAGGTTAGAAACCTCCAAAAAAATAAAATAAAAGTGAGTACATTTTATGGTTCACCTTATTATAAAGCGACTTATGTAGGATTTATATTATCATTAGATTTATTTAAATGTTTGTTACCCCTTCATTAACTTTGACTTCAAAATGTGGTAAGAGAATCAAACTTGACCCTCTTGGGGAATAGAGTAAAAATGAGTATGCTAAATGTATTCGCTAGAACAAAAAATCCATTTTAACAAATGGTTCATTGTGGTGATTGGTTTACATTTTTGAGAAGCTTGGTATGATGATTCCTCAATGTTCAAAAAGAGTTTGCTAATATAAGGAAAAGAAAATTATTCCAAATTTGTATCCCAACTAAACTGCCATTTGAATTTGAGAGGCACTAATCGTAGTAGAGCTGAGAATAGCACAAAATAAGAAACGGTCTCTCCAACCGGCATTCAATACTTGAGATCGGTAGCTAATACCAAATGAACGAGCAATTATTAATAGCTTAGCAAAAACATTATTCTGCTAAGAAAGAGCTCAACGAATCAAACAAAAAGTAGTCCCGTCCTTCTCCTTTCCTCTAGTGCGGAAAGAATTCCACAGATGCGGGATAGGGGTCAACGTAGATAAGATTAGGCTGAGCGCAGCCATCCAGGGGTGGACCCAAGAAAGTCATCTTGGGGGACGAAAATATATATACACTAAATTTTTTGTTGTTGGGGTGCGGTAGCCCTCCTGGGTCTCTACTACGGTCCGCCCCTGCAGCCATCAGAAAGACATCGAGTTAACAAAGACCAAAACTAACTGCTCGCTCAATGCGTAGAACCCTTTGGAATGGGATCAAAGCCCGACGAATCCATAACAGCTTCACTTGTCTATCCGCCAGCATCATAAAGCTGATACCGAGGCATTTCATATTTGAACCGGTTCGAATTCATATTTGCTTTTAAAACAGATTACTTACTTATAATTTCCATCTTATTTGTGGAGCTATAGAAGCAAGAAAAGGATGTAGTAAGTATTTCGAAATTTTCTTGCACATCTATATTATCTTCCGTATCAACATCTTGAATCAATGCCCTTCAATTGATTGACCAAAGAAATTTATAATGTTCATTGGGACATAAAAGTTTGCATAGACCACAGAGACCAGTCCATTAGAGAAAAGACGGATCTTGTAGAGATCTACCCAATTTAAACACTTTGATTTTTGGATTTCAAAGGGAATTGTGAAACATAAGATTTGTGTAGTGGCTTGTTTTGAGTGGAATATGTGATACATGTTAAACTATTTTACTTGGAGCCTACAACAAAGGTTTTAGTGGAGTCTCATTTAATTGATTCTAACTTGAGAAGAAGGTGTTTGTTTTGAATAAGGGAATTCAGATTTTTTTGAAGTTTTTGGAGAAAGTTATAAAAGCAGAATCTCTAATCACACATGTAGAGCAACAAGTTACTTTGATATGAGTTAGTTTGGAGTTCACAAAAAGAGCAGTTTAAAGCACAAGCACTTTTTTTATGTGAAGACATATTGAGTAAGTTACAATAATAATAAAACAAAACTCCATTTTTCTTAGTTCCAATTTCAGTAAGTGACTAAGGGAATAATTTTAAAGGAGAGGAGCACGAAAGCTTGTTTTAACCGTATGAGAAACTTAGTTTAGAACATCTTGGAAACCAAAATAAATGCACACACTTTGAAATTGTGACTCCAAAGAATTATTAAGAATGATTTTTTTTAGTTTAGAGAAATTGTTAACAACTTTGAGTACTTGTTTTGTGATTACTTTTTATTTCCGCTGAAGCTAGTAATTCGGCTATTTGTTATTTGTGGCAAATTTTGTATGACAAGTTAGTTAATGTAATTTGCATGTAGTAAAACTTTATATAAAAGAAACAATTTACATTACCACTTATAATAAGATGAACATGTTCAGAAGATCAAATGTGGAGACAAGATACTGCATTTTTCATTTGCTACTGTGAATAACAACACCCGTTTAAAAAGAATCAACATTTTCTTTTTAAATTTAAAAGCCATTATTTAATGAACTGAGTAGATATTTTATTCAAAAGTATGTATATTTTTTCTGTGTATGGTGGGAAATATTAGCATTAGTATTCGAAAGAATGTGTATGCAAAACAAAGATGAAACATTTTAGGACTGCAAGTGAACATACGAGTTTTTCTTCAAGGGTTAAGTGTGTTTGTAATCCAAGAGATCAATGTACATGTACAACTGAATTCTGCATTCTCAACAGTGGTTAAGGAATATTGTTGAACATGTGATGGACATTCATGAAATGCCTGGTAAGAACGATTTGTTTACAAAAATTGTGAACAAGGAAGTTTGGGAAAGGAGCCCATATTAGTTAGAAGCATGTACACATGTAGGTTTCAATAGTGACAACCGAATTAGCAATAAAAAAAAAAGAATCTATGACAAGCCGATTAAGAAAGTAAAGAGATTGATTTGAAATAAGTACTTGAACGATCGAAAGGGTAGCACGGCAAAAGATGAATGAGATGCAAGTGTCCATGGCGTAGCCTAGAATATATACGAACTATACAACAAAGGAATGGACGCCAAGAAACCGTAAGGTTATGTATAACCTATAGACGACACGTTTGACAAATATGGACGACAACTAATATAGAAATGGACGGAAAAAGGACCATGTTAACATTAAATGTCCCTTATTATATTAGCAAAGACAGTGTATTTTATTGACGTTGTTTGAATGCGGAAAAAATGATATTAACAAAGTCTATACACTGTTTTCATATCGACGAATTTTATATTTAAGGTCAGATTGCGTAGTGATGCAGATTGTCTTATTAACTGTTTCAACTTCCCCTTTTTTAGTTGTCCCAAAAACTTCGATTCTTTCTCTTTTATTCAATTAATTAATTTGTAGTTCATATAATCTCTCTCATTTGCACAACTCTTAAGCACAAAATTTTTACTTTATTATTTCTCATACCGGTGGCCAAGTTTTAAGAAACGACGGAAATCATATTTTTTAGACAACATTACAATTTAGAACTCATTTGATAAAATTGAATTTGCTCAAATTGAACAAATTCTGACGGAAAAGACTAAATTGCTGAATGTGCTTAATTATAGGAAACATATATTCAAAATACTCCGTATATTTTATGAATAAAACAAAGAAAACATATGATGAAATATAAGAATAATGTCATCTATAGTAACTTCAACAAAATCATTTAGAAAAATAAATCTAACATTATTTATTTTGATTATTACATAATTCAGTGCTCAAAATTTAAAGTTATGTGTTTGGTAAAACAATTGATTGATAAGTTGAAAAATAGGAGTTACACAACGAGCTCATAATATGTTTTTACTTGGACTGATTTTGGTCTCAGATCGGACCAAAATAAACCAAACCAAACTTAAACAGATCAGACTAAGCCAAATTATTCTTAAACATATCAAATTAGACCAGATTTAGACAGTTATGAAATTCATGTAAACCACACATTTATCGGACCAGAGTAAACCCAATCGGTTCATACAACACCTAATGACCCTATCCACCTGATGACCAGATAATAAACACGCAGTCCTGTTCTTTGTAATTACGCCATGACCATGTCTTTCGTTCTTTGTAATTTTAATAAAAATTTTAGAAAGCTCCAACGAGAGTACAGATACGTATAAATACACGCATGCTTACTGACACACGCTCTATCCCTCCTCCAATGGCTACGTGCCAGCCATCAGCCCCTCCTCCACTCCCCCCCCACTATCCGCCTGCGCTTAGGGTTTTAGACGAAGACGATTTCTGAGTCAACTCGGACTTGTATATTTTCACTCACTTCTAGATATATAGCTCAGGCTCAGAGTGATTTTTTCCCTTCCACTTATTCTGGTTGGTCCTTTGGCCGCTGCATAAACTGTTTAGGGTTGGTGAGTGGGGTCTGTGATGGCGTCATCTTCTAAGCAGCAGCAGCCCATGGTATGCTTCAATTCGAACTGCAAAGAGGTTCCGAAGCGGCAGAGGAAAGGCTGGCGCCGCCGCACCGGCGAGTTCGCTGACCTCTGTGAACGTTGCGCGTAAGGACTTTTTTGGACTTGTTGGAAGTGTTGCCAGTTCACATTTTACTGTCTAATTACTCTCTTCTGTGAATGCCTGTGAGGGTTCGTTTTTGGCTACTCGGGTGCCTGTTCTGAGTGTGCAAGAGTTCTTACCTTTCACATTCTCTCTACTTACTACTTGCACATAAAAAATTTGATATACATATAGACATGGTTGAATTATGCCCCATTGGTGGTTGGCATAGAGTTTCAAAGAATGCTGTTAATATGCAAGGCCAGGTCGTTTTCAACAAGGGATTTTAACCATGTGTCTTAACTAGGGACTTGGGTGTTTTATTTATTTATTTATTTATTTATAAAAAGGGGTTAAATAACCTCTTTCTGTTTTAAAAGATATTTCACCCAAAACCCTGTATAATTTGAATTATGGCGTCCTTATCTGTTGTTTAATGTTTACTTGCGCCTTTTCATTGGCTAATGTCCTTGAATGTCTCAAAGAATTCTTTTTATTTTTATTTTTCTAAATCAGAAGATGGAAGTTTTGGAAGAACTACTCTTTCTACTAGTTTGATACTGTGTTTTTGAACATTGGGGACCCCAATAGAAGTTTGACATATGAACTGAGTGAAGAACTTAGTTATGGTAGCAGACCATTTGTCAATGCAGAATTGCATAAAGTTGTATGCTGTTCACCTATATCAGTAATATCACTAATGTTTTTGTTATTTTGTTGTGTCTTAACTCTCAATAGCAGTGATTTCTATTTCGGACTCTGGGTTCTCTAGTTTAGCAATTTGAATATGGCACACTGATGTGTGACTAAGACCTTAGTTTTTTGAAGACGGAGCTACCTTGCACTGTTTTTTGCCATTGTTTCACATAAATTATAATCTGAATAAAATAAATTATAATGTTAAAAATTAAGCAGAGTCAAACGTTTGTCAGAGAGAGTTTCAAATCTTGTTCGAATTTTCTCATCAAATTTATTTCCAATTAAGGCTTGGATGTTGTTGTTGTTGTAAGACATAGCTAGACGAAGTATGACACAATTTTCACAATGTCATCTTGAATTTCTAAATTTTCTCACACTAATAGTTATTTTATGTGAACTAGTTCTGCTTATGAAGATGGCAAGTTCTGCGAAACGTTTCATTCTAGTGCTTCTGGTTGGAGGGCTTGTGAATCTTGTGGGAAGGTGCGCTCAAGTTGAATTCTTCTCTGGCTTAGCAATCTATAAAATGATTAAAGTCTATTGAATATCTAAAATATGTTTTTTCTTGTATTGGACATGAGGTTAAGCTTTGATGAAGTCCTAAAGCATGACATTCATTGTGCAGAAAATACATTGTGGATGCATAGTATCTTTCCATACATTTGTACTTTTGGATGCAGGAGGAATTGAATGCATAACGTGTGCAAGGAAGAGTTTTATTTTGGTAAGGTTCTTCACATTCTGTTTCATTTGTTTCTGTATGATTTGTTATTTGAGTATTAGTATAATTGCTTTCTACATCAAACACTTGGTGTCCATGTGTATACTTAACTATACCCAATTTGGTGTATTACTGCTAAAGTTCTTGCCTTGTTGTCAATCTGCTTTTATTTCAAGGCTTGAATATTTAAACCAAAACATAGTCAAATTTCTATATTCTAAAGCAACACCAAAATCATGTGGCCATACTAGATTATTTTATAAGCTATGGTTGGAACATGGTTTTCAATATTCATTCTTGCCCGTTATTTACTAATAACTAGTGTACTAAAAATGAGTTATGCTTTTAAAGATTCCCTAAAAGGAAAAAATCATAAATACATATACACTGTACATATGTATCGTTTTAAGTGGTGCAGTCACCATCCACCAATTTACGTCTTCAGTTTCTACCTCACCTGGATACCCACACTCCCCACTTACACGTTCTTTTGTTTATAGAACATGTTGTTTGATAAATTTTACCTGTATTTCAGACACCAAATCCTGCATGGCCACCTCCTTCACATTTTCCTCCTCTGCAAACTGAAGGAACTAAAGAGTCTAGAAGTTGGACTCCAATAGCTGGTTCTGGTCGGGTTCCATGGCGTCAAGCTCCGAGTTTGTTCAACGGCGGACTCATTCAGCCCGAGTTGCAGCCGAAAACGCCATATATTGATCTGACTGGTAGCACTGACGGATTTCACTTAACTGATTATACGAGAAAAGAGGACACTTCTGGAATTCCCCTAAACAAAAGCCTGAAGAGTTGTGTGCCAGGAAAACCTGAAAATGAGACTACCGGTATTGGTTTCCATTATACATGCATTTTTTTTTTAAAATAAAAACTTTGAATCCGTTTACGTAGAAATGTTTGGAGATTAAGGCTCATTTAATAAAATAATGATTGCCTTGCAGGTTTTGGTTGTGCTGGACCGCCCAACCCTTTTGCAAGTTGCCCCGACCGAACAAGCGTCCCAAAGAATGATTTTTGTTCTCCAAACTTTCGGTTCACAATTGGACCTACAACCAGAAATGAAGTAAGTAATCCTAGCAAGATCTTCACGGCACACACTCAACCAACAACAATTTCATCTCCCGTGGGGAGGCAGTCATGCAGTCAGAACAGCGTGGATTCTTCTGGAGAGGCTCAAACATGCAGCGTGAAGTATCGAGGAGATGTGGGAGGGAAGCACCATCTACTTCCTCGGTACTGGCCTCAGATTACTGATAAAGAACTGCACCAAATTTCTGGAGAGTATCCTTTAAGGAAAGCCAAGTTTTTTTTTCAAGCTGTAACAATAGTATTATAAAAATATACTTGAAAGTGTCGTATTTTTTGTCTATCCCGATGCTCCAGTGACTCATATTTATTCTTGGCATTGATATGACTGCAAGAATGCAGTTCAGCTTTGTGCTCGTAACCTTAACTTTGTGTTAGCATGAACTCGGTGATTACTCCTCTGTTTGAGAAGATGCTTAGTGCTAGCGATGCTGGCAAAATAGGGCGTTTGGTACTACCTAAGAAATGTGCTGAGGTAATTTCGTAGTGCTTAGCTGTCATTATTAACTCAATGCTTCTACTAGCTGTTGTGATAACTAAAAAACTCTGTTGCATTTTATGGTTTTTATTCTCACTGGTCCATTGATTTAATACCGACCATTTGTGTTTGGTTAGTAGTTATATTCCACTACATGCAAAACAGAATCGCATGAAAACATACACTATTTGTGATGTTGATGATGTTTTATCATGTGACAGGCTTATTTTCCACCAATACCTCATCCAGAGGGATTACCACTGAAGGTGCAAGACCTAAAAGGGAATGAGTGGGTATTTCAATTTCGTTTTTGGCCCAATAATAACAGCAGAATGTATGTTTTGGAAGGGGTCACTGCTTGCATGCAATCAATGCAGCTGCAAGCTGGTGATATAGGTAATTAATCGGATAAATAATGATTCTAAATCTACAGGGGACCCTCAGGACAAACATATGTGTTGTGTATTCATGCTTGATTTATGTTATTACAGTTCTAGTTTTCTACTGTTGTCTCTGTTGCAATTTATTTTGGTTGTCTGTATTTTCTTTAGGGTGGATCTTGGATGGATAGATTTTTATTGGATATTGCAATCCTACTGCCGTCAATTTTATAGTAGCATTCTCTTTTTCAGTGACATTCAGTAGGATAGAGCCAGAAGGAAAGTTAATTATGGGGTGCAGAAAATTAACATCTACGCCTTCAGTGGACCAGGTATGTTCCATTGCTTTCTACAAAATAGAATATAATTAACTCGTGTTAGCAGAGGTGATGATGGAACTCATTGATAAGAATTTATACCACCAAGGTATATTAAATTAGATTTTATTTTTTCACGCTAAAGTTTTTAATATTACTTTTTCACAGGGTCTTGGAACATCTAATACTCCAATTGGAGTGGCTAATAATGGCAGCGCTGGCACTAATAGTGTAAAACCTGGGGAAATCTTGACAAAGTGCTTTGGTAAAGGAAATTCAGCATCACCTGCTATTCTGATTAACAATCAAGCCTGTAGTTTGGATTCCAGAAACAATAACTTTCCTGAACTTAATGAGTCAACTTGCATAATAGCTTCGGAGGTGGTAGAAAGCAAATCTCCTGTTCGCCGTAAGAGAAAGAATAATACCATTTCAAATCCTAAAAGCAAGCAAGTGAGAATTAACAGTGAGCAGTTAATAGAACTAAATCTCACAGTAGTGCAAGCTCAACAATTGTTGCGGCCATCTCCAAATAATGCCCCAACTGTCATTGTGATTGAAGGCTATGAGTTTGAAGAATATGAGGTGACTATATTCATATACAACAGTGCAGTAATCTTGACAAATCTTGATACCTGCTTCTAGCTCATTGAGGAAACTAACATGTAAAATTTTGTTTCGCTCTCCAGCATGATGCACCAATTATAGGAAGGCCTACTATTCCCTGCACAGGCAGTATGGGGTTAGTGTTTGTCCATCTATAGTGGTTATTAACAGCTTCACAAAGTAGCGAATGGCTTTTGAGTCTTTATCATATATTCTCTCTATCTCAGTGAGAAGTTCCAGTGGGCTCAATGTGAGGATTGTTATAAATGGCGCAAGATCTCTGCTGATGCTCTTCTTCAAGCAAGATGGACCTGTTCTCAAAATCTAAGGGATCCTGACAGGTATGTCATGTACCTCTTCCTCACCGCAATCATCTTTTCTGACACGTGAGCTTATTTTTTTATCTCTGACTCTCTGTTGTATGAAATGGATCCCTTATCTTATTTGTGAAGTGTTTTTTATTTCTGGCATTAGATCTGTGTGCTCTGCAGCTGAGGAGTTAACCGCAGAGTGCTTGGCAGGCTTAATTCCTTCCACTGTTAAGGGTACAAACACTCTCTATCTCCTTCCAGTATACACTATTACTCAATATATCCGTGACTATGCTATTTTGACTTACTCTAGCTCTCACACATACTCCTGTTATTCTTTATTTGTCATATAGGGTTTTCAGAGACATTAAAAGTAAAACAGCAGAATTGTGAATAGTATAGAAAAAACGTGAAAGAAAGTGAAAAACAGGAGAGAGTTGATGATGCATGAAAGAGAAGATGAAATAGTAGAAACGAGAATGAGAAAAAGCAGGAAAAAATAGGAAGGGAAAGATGACAAAAGAAGGTAAAAGTTGCCAAAAAGAGAAATCAAACAAGTGATAAAAAACATCCCAAAAGGAACAAAGAACAAATAACATAACAGAAGTATTTGGTTTCAAATAAGAGGGGTATTTTAGCCGATTCCATAAATTTAGACCCAAAGAGGAATCCATTTTTATCCTCAAATATGTGCCCAATAAATGGAGTTTAAAATTTGCATAGTTGAGGACCAGATTGAATTCAAAAGGAAATTAAGGGAAAATGAAGTAATACACAGTAGCTTTTAGTCAAGGGACTAAATTGGGCATTAGCTCTTTGTCGGGAACAGTTGTGAATAAACAGATTTTTGTCTGGGGGTTTTCATGCAGCAGCTGCTAAAAAGAGAAAGAAGGCATCTTCAAGACATGATGATATAAAGTCACCAGACACTACTACTAGTACAATTATAGTAGAAGCAATCGGCACTGCCCTTGAAAATCTAGTCTTACATGAATATGGGGAAGGTGGTGGTGTGTCATCATCCCAGCCACCCACCACGAAGCACCCTCGTCACAGACCGGGCTGTACCTGCATTGTCTGCATCCAGCCCCCAAGCGGAAAGGGCCCCAAGCACAAGCAACACTGTGATTGTAATCTGTGCAAGTCTGCAAAACGGCGTTTCAACACTATGATGCTGAAAAAGGGTAAAAAGCCATCAGAGAAAGAAGATGCAGGACCTACAGAGGCTGAGTGCAACTCACAATCTAGTGATAGTTTTCGTGGTGATGACAAGATAGCAAACGAGAAGAAATCATATCCGCCACTTAAGGGCGGGATTGATCTGAATATGAAACCGGACCGGGAGAGGGATGATTTTTCACCCTTCCAATGCGATTCTCCTTCTGGTGGTGGTGTTGGGGTGATGAGTTTGCTACAAGATGCTGCAGATAGACTCGTATGGCATCACGGGTTGCCAGGTATCAAGGATTCTTCATCAGTTGTTGCTCATCATCATCATCATCATCATCAGGTGATAAATTTGAATGGTTGCGGTCCACCTTCAGATGGAAGCCGCGGTCAAACAATATCTGATGTGGACCATCATATGGTGCCTGATAACCTTTCTCCGGTGATGCATGCCGAGAAGTAGTTAGCTGAGTTGATATTTTTGGTGTATATTCTATGGCATCATCACCATCCATTTTTTGGCTTATGTAAATAAAAATGAGTAGTAAATGTGTAATGAGTTTTCCTAACATAGAGTAACCGTAATGCCCCTCTTGTATGGGGTATGGGCCGTATGGCCGTATCAGGATGTGAGTTCTGCTTAGCTTGTATATTGTCCTTAGCTGTCTTCGAAGAATAATTTCTTCAACACATCATCCTTCACAATTAAGTCATAAATCTCTATTATATATTCCACATATTATACTTGTGGTTTATATTTGTAAATGTAAAAACGTAAGTCCTTAACAATTAAAGTGTGTTGGGGTCAGCACAACACTTGCCATACTGGGCGTTGGGATTGTTCACTAATTGGTTCGATCGTTCACAAAAGCCGGAGCTATGGGCTAATGGGCAGGGGCGCAGGGCCCTATGGCCTATGCTGTATCCATGTAATGAATAGGACCGGAACAGCAAAATACATCCTACAACCGGTTGTACCGTGCGCATGGTACAACCAGGCTTTTTGTTCGCTGTGTACATAGTGTCTAACGTAGTGTCTTACATTATGATATGTTTACATTATGATATCTTTTAAAATGAGCTTAAAACAATATCAAATGAGCATAAACAACTTACAAAATGAGTATCAAAATATTAAAAACTCATTCATTTTGGGAGGTATACTCATTTGAGTTCAAAATAAAACTCATTTCTAATATGCTCAATATTCATTTGTGTATGTTCATTTTGTTTAGACGTGTACTCATTTGAGTTTAATATAAAGCTCATTTGAGATCAATAGTAGGGGTGGACTCGGGCCGGGCCAACCGGCCCGGAACCGGACCGGTCCGCTACTGTGTGGGCCCGGACCGGCCGGTGAACTGGTTGGTTGACCGATCCGGGCCACCTGGCCTAGTGGGATGGCGGTTCGGGCTCGGGCCCTTCAAAAGGTGAACCGGCCCGGTCGGTTCGGGCCCGGGCCGGGCCAATTTATTTATTTATTTATTTTGATTTTTTTTAAGTTTTTGGGTTGGGCTGGGTATTTTAGGCTATTTGAGGTGGTTAGTGTTGGTTTGGGGGTGAGGGGAGAGGGTTGGGGGTTAACTAGGGAAAGCCAAAAAACAAAAAAATAGAATCGAGGCCCGGCCGGGCCCAAACCGGAACCGGTCCACTCCTAATCAATAGCAACAAAGATTCCCTAGCAACGAATTAGACTCTGGTTGTAATATTATACTTTTGAAATATGCATAAATATGACATTATAAAATGAGTATTGCACTAATATCAAATGAGTATACCTGAATTATGAAATGAGTATTCAAAAAAATCAAAAAACTCATTTAAAATGTGTACTATGCTTAGAATTTCTTTTGTGTATGCCCATGTCTGTACAAATACGTATAACATAGGATTCTCCTAAGTATGTTCAATTAGAACTCATTTTACGCTCATTTTTTAAATGTCATATCAATGCATATTTCAAAAGTATCATATTATATTAGATTCGCACATTGAAGTTCATAAGAGTTGATTATAAATAAAATTTAACAAGTTTTTATACAAGAAAAAATAAGAAAAAGAAAGTGAATTCAAAAATACAAAGCAGAGATCACGATGCTCATTTTTAGACTTCTAATGCTCAACAAAATATGTCTGATGCTCACTAAAATTGCGTTAATGCTCATTTAGCAGAAGACACGAATTTCATTTAATTTACAAAGATGCCACTGGCTCAACGTACCGCATGCTCTATGGTATACGCTTTCGACCGGAACAGAAATGGATGAGTAATTTGCCAATACGGATTAATCGGGTTACTTATTTAGAGCATCAGGTACTCCAAAATGGCATTGAGTGGGATAGGACTTGACCGTTTCCAGTCTTGCTTATCATTTCAAGTAGGGCACAGAACTGGTCGAGAGTTGATATCGGAATTGAACTTGGTCCAAAAGGTGGAATCTCTCAACCCCAGGAGCCCCCCATATCGGAATGGGACAGGAACTAGCTTTGGACCACAATTGGACCTTACTCAAGAATTCTGACCTGATCTTGGCTACGGAGGGGGGGGGGGGGGGGGGGGTCGAGAACTAGCCAGTCTAGAACTGAAATCAAAATGGTCTGGAACGAGTGGTGGACTGGGCCGGAATCAGGCTGGGCTTCGGGTTCGGTAAAACCAGTCCCAGTACCGACCAGTTATATACCAGGACCGGGTCGGGCTCCCCGATCGGGCTCGGGTCATGTCCGATCGGGCCGGGCTTAATATTTTTTTTTAGCTAATTCAATTCACAAATGCTACAAAAAAGTTGAATGTATACTATTGAAATATGAAGTACAATTGATAATATGTACTCCGTAGTATTTAATAGTCTCTTTTAAAAAAGCAGGAAAATATACTTTGCGCCCCCTTGACTATTTAATTAGAAGTTGTCACTTGAAAACACTAATTTTAGTCTTTTTAAGCCAAAAGTCGAGAAGCGTTTGTTTAAAGCATTTGCAAACACTCCCTAAGTGTCTAAGACTATCAAACCATCGTGGCATAAAAGACACATTGATTGGTTCTGGTTTGATTCTTGCCTTGAATCGACCGGGTGTGTTCGGTCAGCCTCCCTTGTGGAGGGTGTTCAGTTGGCTATGTCGTGACTGACCCTTTAGTGTTTGCGTACAAGTTCTCGTAAAAGCCTATTTGATATGTCCTAGAGATGGCTCGATCGGTCTTTCTCCATGTGATTGGGATCGATCGATAACGTGTTTTGAGAACGAGTTCCTTGATCATTTTTGTGGGGCTATGTCTTTATCCGAGACCCAAAGTGTGTGACTAAGTATAAACTCATGTATACTCTTCGTGAGCAAGTAAAACTATGACTCCAATGTGATTCTTTTTTAAAAAAGAGAACTCAAGGCTATTGAATATAAAGCCAAGCTTAAGATGTCTTTTAAAGATGCAATGCAATAGTCGTTTTGCACTAAGTTTTGAAAAGCTACTGGACGAAAAGGCAGCTACTTGATCACTAAGAAGAGGAAAAGTGGGAGCCACTAAGCACATTTTGTTCAACCTCTAGGGCCACAATGACAAATAAGGTTTGAAAAATTATAAAGATTTTTGTGTACACACTTTTTACACATGTCTGTGTAAGGTTTTTTTTTGTCTGTACAGACAAAACATATTTTACAAAATACGTTTTGTCTGTACCGACAAAAAAAAACCTTACACAGACATGTGTAAAAAGTGTGTACACAAAAAGTGTGTACCCCAAACAAATTCAATAAGGTTTTGCCTTTTACTTGAACCAAGCTCACTCAAACTTCTTTTTTTCTAGTACTACAAAGATTTCAAAGTGGGAGTTTCCCTTTTTATTCAAAAAAGAGGGAAGTAATTATGTGGCTTGATTACCAAGTAGGAATCTTGCAACCACTTGTCACTTTTGGCCATCTAGCTGGCTGGGGTAACCCTTATTAAAAAGAAAAGATGTACATACATATATATATATATATATATATATATATATATATATATTATATTTTGTGAAAGGAAAAACACAATTTTAGCAGCCGTACTGTTAATGACTAATCCAGAATTCTTTAGATAAAAACGTTTAAATAAAAAAGACAATTACATCACTGCCGTTTAAGTTTGACTCATAAGTCGTCTACCAATATTTAATAGTGACAAAAAAATACACCGACTGGTGATGGATTCCTCCTACCTTAAATAACTATCTCCCAGAAACTACTACGTACTCCATCCGTTCATATTAAATTGCCTTCCCATCCAAAACAAAACGGAAAAACAAATTTATCTACTTATATTACATATAATATTCAACGTCAATATTGGAGGCAGATAATTAAGTTTTGCTTTATTTGGTAATTTTATACGATGTTGATTAGTTTACAATTTTACACTCTTGACCCATCTAACCATTTCCGTTTAGCACAATTAGCGGAAAATATACTTTTATGAACATTTTAGTAATTTTAAACTTTTAATGATCGAAAGATCTTAAAAGAAAAATGTTGTTATTTGATAAAAAATTGATTGTTTAGATTACTTCTGTTTGGTATGACAAATTGTTATGAGTAATTAATGCTAACACCAAGATTTTTCTCATATGCTACTTGATGGATAGTGTACCCGGGGGTAGCTATCCGAAGGGTTATTACGGGGAATAACTTAGAGAGAAGTCGGAGCAAGTAAGTAAAAGTAGAGAGAGAGTGTATTCAGTATGAATGCCGTTTTCAGCGTGGTTACAAATGGGGAAATGGGGTGCTATTTATAGTAGCAATAAATGCCGGACAGGGACACGTGTCAAGCGCTTATTGGCCGAGGAGTCACCTCAACTGGTTGGCGCTGGCAGCCGCATGTGGCCGCATTTAATGCGGCTGTTGGATGGGACGTCTGTGCGGGGTACGGTGATCTGTACGCATGTGAGGCGGATATCTTGTCGAGTGAGATGCCTTCGGCTATAGAGCAGTAGCCGAGGGCTCTTCCACCCGATGGCACCCTGGTGCCGAGGGCTCACAGTGCCGAGGGCTACTGTTTTCGCCGTTTTCTCCCAGTTTCTTAATTTGCTTGAGAAACCCGTTATGTGAGAATTTGGAGCCTTCGGCCAGGGGGCCGAAGGCACCCCTGGCGCGCAGTGCGGACTGCCTGGTACTCTGGGCGCTGTGATTTGGGCCTGTTGGGCCTTTTGGGCCTTTTGGGCCTTCGCTGGAGTAGTAGGAGTCTGTGGGCCGGGGGTTCCCGGGCCATATACTCCATCAGGAGTCCCTCACTCCTTTTGCCGAAAGGTACTTGAGGGAAAAGGAGTAATTTGTGCTTGCCCTTTGATGTTGTCCCGTCGTGATCTCTGAAGTTGGTGAGGAGTTGTTGCTTTTATGTCCCTGCCGAAGGCAGTCCCTCAGTTACCCACATGTCGGGACTTGAGGGCTTGCTTTGTTGTTTGTTGGAGTTTCTACATCTTTTGTAATTTAATGATTTTCCTGAGGGGGTCCTCCAGTCCCCCACTCCTTGAGGCACTTGTAAAGTGGTGAAAAGGAGTAAAGTAGTTACGTTGTTGTTGTGGGCCGAAGGCTGACGCTTTTCGTTTCATTTTGGGGGGATGCCTCGTTAAAAACCTCATTAGGAAAAACCCTTTGGGAAAAACTCCTAATGAGGGAAAAAGAGTGCACCGAATTCCCCCAATGATGAATCGAAAATGTCAAACCTTGGTATAAAGTGGAGAATGACGGGAATGCCGAAGGCTCTCTCTTCTGAGGGCTCCTGTGTTGATTAGCCGAAGGCTTGCTGTTGATGTCCTGGTGGCGC